AACCGTCGTGTTATGAAATCATGCCAGGCAAGGATAAAGGCTAAAAGAGAGTGTCTCAATGATGAAGCTATATTTACATAAATTCACGCGAATGGTAATCTTCAACTTTTGCGAATTGAGAATGGAATTGAGAATTGAGAATTGGTACCACGAGATGACCAATCTAGTTGATGCAGCTCAGTTGCATTGCGCCTTTGTTGGACGCCCGCCTTCCCAGACCGATGTGACGCGCCCCCGGTTTGGCAGCTGACTCCAACTGGCACTGACTGGGCCCGATCCGACCCTCTATCACGTCGCGTCCGTGCCGCCGGCCGACTGTCGGTCCGATTTATCCCGCGGCCCGTCGATGGTGTTGCTAAACTAATGTGCAGCCAGGCGTCAACCGGCGGACTGATCCTGGAGCCCGGCCAAGCCACTCCCACAGGGCTTCTATCAACAGCGGCAGCTCTTCCGACGCACGCCGCACCGCTCAAAGCGACTATTCATAACAGTGTGTCTGTCGTCTAGACACAAAGGTGCTCGAAATAACACACCTGTTAGGATGGCTTTATGTTCGGAGACTGGCAGCCAGTGGTGCAGCGCATAAGCATTTTGCTCTGTTACTATTGTAGTCGGCCCTGCAACGAACTGCTTGCTGACTGAGGTTGCACGATGTCTTATGATAAATGAAGCGAATGGTGCACCGAACGCCATTAAAGTGTATGCTGGGCAAAGGACAAGTGTTCATGTTAGCACTGGAACAAAAGGATGCCAGTAGAACTCATCAGAATTTTGCAGAGCAATGTCAACCAGTTAAACATGCAGCTTGTGATCCTGTGGACGAACCAAGGCGAGACGTTTCATTTTTTAAATGTTTAAATATGTGTCAAGAAAACAATTTAAATGTCAGGCAACTCTGGTTGCATTTGTCCTATTAGGAATATTAGAACGCGTGTAAACAACATCAAATAATCGATTTAGTGGACATCACTGTTGAGGACCAGTGACATTGAAAGAAAATGGATTGCCACTTTGTATACAACATAATTAGTGGTGTTCTCATCCTTATCCTGTGCCCGTTAATTAGGAGGGACATATCATCGATTAAAAGATGTGGTCAGGATGACCAAAAAGATGCGGGCAAATTTCATTAATGACCCTATAAATAATATAATAAATTATTGATAAACATCCACCGATGCAATATTACAAAAATAATGAAGGTGTTGTTGTTGAGTATACACAACAACATATCCATGCCCGTGCTGTATGTACTTAAAACTATACGTGTATAATGGATCAAATCCAATGGCTTTGAAAAAAAAATCCTCTTCCCAATCTTCCTGGAATCTAATTTCAGCAATTGATGTTGCACAAAGCTTACATCATCTGTAACCTACAATGGAGGATTCAATTCAGGGATTCCGATATTGACACAAACGATGTGGCCCTGCAGCGCAGGATATTGGTTTCCTTGTGATTTCGCGGAACAACGCGTGCAGCTAGAACTGAAACAAAGGACCGACAATCCCTTCGGTGAATTGAAGCAGCAATAGTAGGACTAAACAAACCACCAAAATATAATCGAATAAACTGAAACAATTCAAAATGGAGTGGCTGATCGAATATTCAAGCAACATAAGATTGATTGACGCGACACAATCAAATTGAAATGGAACTTCTCGAGCTGGAGTTCGTGCTGCTCATAATTGCATGCAGCAAACGTAAGAGTACGGCCAGAGACTCTAAGACATTTTGGCAGGAACAAATCCAGCAGTGCACGATATGGTGAAATATCAAAATGATTGAGTAAATCTATTCATGCTCAGTCTTCTCATATAGAAGCCTGTTATTCATCGAATGCACAACACTGCATATAACTGAATATCACTTGTGCATGAACTGGGGAAGCGCTAAAGCTGAAAAAGAAGAGCGATTATCTATAATACATTAATCAAATAATTTCAAAGAATGACTATCTAGCCACACTCCTCCGTCCTGGCACACAGCATGTGAGCAGCTACTCCTAATTTGTGCCGCATGGTATCACAGTTCGTAATGACAGGAGCCGTACCACCACTCGCCAGTAAAGTGACTGGTGTTACCAGTGCAGTGATATCACCAGTACAGTCAGTAATGAATGCGGTCAGACTATCAGTGCAGCCAGTGGTGTCGCTAGTGTATTCAGTAGAATGACACCAGTGCATCAGTATCGTATCAGCTCGGTACAGTCACTAGTATCATCAGTGTAGGTGGTGCTGTCAGCAGTGCATTAAGCATGTAGTGTCATCAGTGCAGTAAGTTAAGTCATCAGTGCAGTCAGTAGTGTCAGCAGTACAGTCAGTACACCAGTACAGTCAGTAAAGTGACTAGTACACTCAGTAGTGTCAGCAGTGCAGTCGGTAGCCGCCACGTGTCAGTGAAGCGGTCGCGATCGATGCAGGTCTACTCTCCGCTCGGCCCGGCCCGGTAGGCTGCAGGCGGCCCTGAGCTGCACGACCCGGCGCGGCGCGGCGCTCGGCGGTGACCGGACGCCCGACCGGACGGCGGACGCCACTGATGACAGGTCACGGGTCATCGCGACCGACAGATCCTCCTCAGGTCAGCGAGCGGAACGGGCCGGCGCCAGATGGCACACACCGACCATTAGAGCATCAATAATCATCCACGGTTGGAAAAAGCGCGACCAAAAAAAAAAGGTGCTCAAATCCATGTCTAGCAATCACCAAAAGATGTTGATTGTTCTTTATATGTTTTCTAGGATGTTAAAAAAACTCCAGGTTTGGATGCCGAAAGGTGTCATCAGTGAATAATCGATGGGAGAGATGTAGGACATGGTCTCTCCTTTTGCCTTCAGATACCAAAATGGATGGTTTAAGTCCTATTCTTAAGTTATAACTTGATGGCATCAGTTGGGTATCTCAAAAGCGAAACGAATTCAAGGCATCGTCGATAGAGTGATCCCGAAGTTGATTTCATATATCCCTTCTATACCAGGCGCGACAAACTGTCATCCCAATGACCGCGTCCACTGGTCTCTAGACCACGAAATATCCGAAATATCCACCATTCAGCTCAGCGAAATATCCACGGATATTTCGCTGAGCTCAACTCAGCATCTGAGCTGCACCGTCCAGCTATTCCCAGATCTTTTAGATGTTTCAGATGTGTCCAGGACTCTTTTAGGGGTTAATGTGATAAGGAGCTCTCCTTTGATCACCAAAAACAGGCCTGGTCATCCGGGGCTCCAGGCTCTCAGTTATCTTCTCACACATTGGTAGAAATAATTCATAAAATGACATTAATCGTTTCAAAAACAGCAATTGGGAAGTCCAAATGAAGAAACCAACAAGACTTTTCCAAACTTCAAACTTTTCAAACGTTTCAAGATTTAGAAAGATGTCGTTTTTAATGACGGTTATAATGCGCGTAGTAGCAATATCTCCATTGAAAGTTATCTGTCACTGTAACACAACTAAAATGAAAATGGACTTCTCAACAAAAATAGCCCTTACAAAATTCGCCACAAAGCCTCCAAGTAATGCTATTACACGCCAGGTTACGTTCTAAAAGCCAGTTTCAACGGCTCATCTAGCCTGGGCGGTGCCTCATTTGTGCGGTTTTGGGGGCGAAGGAGTGTCCGTATGACATGGATCTCTAACGAACGCATCTCCCTGCCACCCCTTACTTTCGGGAGAGTGTGCTACTGTTGTCGCCTAAATGCGTGTCAGCCCCCAGGCCCAGACCATCCATCGTCCAGTCGTGAATGTTTAATGGCACGCTGAGTCGGCCGGCGATTGTGGGCGCTGCGCAGAGTCGGTTCTCGTCAGCGGACCGCCGCCACACCGACGGCCAGCCTCTGTCGGAACCGACGCTCTCAACCATCACCAACTGGGAATATCCGGCCGGGCGAGCGAATAAAGGAGGCCGGCAGTCGGTGGGAGGCTAGGGGCGGGGAGGGGAAGGTCACCATGGGAGGCGCAATAACGGCCGGGGAGCGCCAGAGGCCGGAGATGGGGTGTGGGTGGTGTGGGGAGATGGAGATGACTTGTGATGGGTGGGAGGTGTGGTTTTCGTAGAGCAGTGGTATAAGCCGTTTTCACGACGGGCTATGCGGCGAGTGCACCTAATTTGACCAAATCTGCACCTAATCTCTTTTACAGCAAATTCCTTTTATGAATTTATTTCAGTGTTTTAATCGATAATACTCTCTGATAATATGACAAAGCAGGGATATAGGCAATTAGTGCAGCCCTAGCTGATAGCTACTAAGAGACACACTGAACCTAATTTGACCAAATCTGCACCTAATCTGCACCAAATGTGCACCAAATGTGTACCAGATGGCTGTCGTGAAAACAGCTATTGTAGGGCGGGTAGATAGTGGTTTGTAGAGCAGGGCACTGGCCGGGTGGGATTGGTTTTGGTTTGGGAGTGGTGGCTATGTCCGTACTCCGTAGGGAGATGATGTGAAAAGTGATAGCTTTGTAGAGCAACGAAACAAAACTGGTGGTTTCGTAAAGCGGGAGGTGAGAGGCTGTGCGTTTACAGAACGGTCTATGTAAAGCGGATGTGTTGGTTTTGCATAAAGCGGGAATGCAGATCGTGTGAAGGTGAATTGCACGGGGTGGAGTCTGGCTAGACGATGATTTTGATAAATAAAAACGGGGTTGGATATCATTTCCCATTCCTCTGCTCTTCGTGTAAGGTGAGATAAAAGAAGCATTAATCACGCAGATACTCTTAGGAAATGCGCAAACTGGCTTACGGCGCAAGGCAGCAACATACCTCAAAACCCTAAAATATAACACTGGCACATTCAATTTCATTATATAGCAATAAAAAACATTCCGGTTCCCATCCCCAAAGTAAACATATACAACACTGTATAACGGGTACCACGCTGTGATGTGGGGAGCACTCCGGCCGCCGGTGAGCGGTAAAGGTGATCCACAGTTCGGCAGACTGCCGGAGGACGCTGCCGGGGGCCAGACCGCCCTCACCACGCACTCAACACTCACCGTCCCGGCGGTTATCGGCGTCTCGCAGAGTGGCCGTCATCTGTCCGGCGGGCCGTGAGGTGACCATCTCCTCCGCCTGGCGTCCGGTCACCCTGAGCAGAGTGCTGTTCCATCGCCACACGCACGGCGTATCGTCCTCGAACGTGCACAGCAGACCTGCCGTCGGTGAACAGAGCACACACGCCGTCAGCCACAGCAGCGCCGCCGCGCCCGCACACATGGTCGCCGCCGCGGGCCCCGCTCGGTCCGACGCGCCGCCCGCCCGCCCCGTCGCCGCCGTCGCCGGCGTCGCGCGCGGCCGTCGACTGCGGCGGAGATCGCCAACGACGCCGGCGCCGCGGCCAGGCGCGCCAATATAGATCGGGCGGCCGACGCGCCGAGAGGAGCCACCTCCCGGCTCTCGGCGGCGCCGCCACCGGGCCAGCGGCGCCGCTCGGTCACGCGTCGACAGCGTGAGAAAATCGTCACGACAGATTGGGCGGCTGGTCCCCCTGGGTCACCATAGGGGCCCGACGGGGGCGGGGGGAGATGTTGGCGGCGCTCAAGTGGTTTGGTAGTGTCGTATCATTTCTGTATTTGAATTGTTTGTGTCAACGTTTGCAAGAATGCGCAAACGTTGCGCATTCTTGCGCAGTAGGTGCAGTGACACTTTGGTAAGCAGTTGTCCCTCCTTCGGTTTATAATATGATAAAACCATATCCCTCGCACGACCAGGCCATTTCTCATAACACGAACGACCAGGGGGTTCTCACCTTACACGTTGTTACGACCCCCCCCCCCCCTGGCGTTTCGAAACGGAAGGTCGTAGAGCTTAGCAGAAAAAAACCAACGGATTGCTCTCAACGAGATCTCGCGATTGGTGGTATATTTTTTGGTCCTAGGTCAACATTTGACCTACTTATGACCGGTCAAAGGTCAAATTTTCCGAAAAAAAATCAAACTTTTTCAACTTTCCGCGGCGATTGCGGCAAAACGGTGGGAGATATCGACTTGAAACCTTCACTATCGTGTTCCTTGATCAATTCTCTATCGTTTGGTATGTATTTCGTTTCCCTAGCTCTAAAAATGGCGCGTTGGGAGCGCCGGAAGTCGGCAAGGTCACAGTCGGCGGCAGAAATTCGAAAAATCAAAATTTAAATTTTTGAAATCTGATTGTATTTTTGGATTTGGGAGGTCCATTTGCTCCCTATAGAAGCTAATATTGCTGCATATTCCCATTGAAGTGACAAGAATTAGCAAAATAGTGGTTCGGGCGCTTTTCAAAAATAGTACCAGACGCTGTTCCTCTTGTGACGTCATAGCTCCGTGACCTGACCTGACCCGGTCAATTTTCTTGCACCACACGATAGCCAATGCTTGCCCCAACATGCATGGGAAGTTTCATCATGATCCATCAAACAATGTGGGTATCACCGGCAGAAAACCTAGGGATTCGGCGCACACGTTTGGTAACTGTCGGCCGGAGGCTGTACCTCTTATGACGTCATAACTCCGTGACCTGACATGACCCGATCAATTTTTATTCGGCAAAAGATGCGCAAAGGTTGCCCCAGAGGGTATTGAAAATTTCAGCCCGCTACGACAAGCCGTTTAGCGTGCACTTCGAAAAAACCTCAGGGGGAGGGTTGATACAACCCCCCCCCCCCCTAGGCGTTCTAGCCCGCGCCCCGCTGGGGGGGGCAGAATCTGCCCCCCCTCCCGTTTTTCGCCAATAACTTCTAAACGCGTTACGCCAGCGACGTCAAACTTTCAGTACCTTATCATACATCAATTTGACACGTTCCCTGAAAATTTGAGCGAAATCCGTCGGAAAATTTTTGAGAAATTGACGTTTTAGTGACGTCATGTTCGCCATTTTCGCCTCAAAAACGGCAAAATTTCAAACGCCGCTAACATCTTCATTTTTAAAGGAATCAAGACGTAACAAAAAAGGTTATACGTGATTCTACTTTGTCTATCAAATGGCTATCTCGGTTTTTTTTAAAATTTTGGATTTTGGCCAAAAATTTTCCAAAAAACTGACTTTTTTGGGAAAATATTTATAAAATCCAAAATTTTGAGTTTATCGAAAAAACCGGAATATATGTCAAAGAAGTGGTCTATGTGCACCTACATACCAATTTTTAGAAGAATCAGTTCAAAAATGTGGGAGTTATTCAAAATTTTATGACGTCACGACACACAAATTTTTTGAAAAATGATTTTTTTGGAAGTTCTAGACCTCGTACGGAAACAAAAATAGTACCATTCGATTCGCCGTGAAAAACTGCATCGGATAGACACCTTTTTAGGCCTTAACAACCAACTTCAAAATTTGACCTCACTTGACCTGACCTTGACCTGACCTCGACCTGAAATTCATCCAGAGGTGGTCCATATCACTTATTGAGTGTGCCTATTGAATTCCATGAGTAAAATGACCCATAAAACATGTGTCGCACATGCCCTTTTCTATATTTTGTTTTTGGTGACCTGACCTGACCTGACCTGACCTTGACCTTGACCTTTGAATGACATTGTGTGCAACGAATATTGTCTTGGTAGTCTAAGAACACGTTTAGGGCAATCAGTCTCAGTCCATTCTTCGGCAACTACGGTGCAAGGCCGATACTGTAGAAACTTGCATTTTGTACCCTTGACCTGACCTTGACCTGACCTCTGACCTACTTAAGCAAAAAAATTTGGGCTCTTAAGATCCGCCTTGTTGAGAGCTTTCGATTGCCGTTTTCCCCGTCTTTCTACGACCATCGGTTCGGAAGTTAGACAGGGGGGGGGCAGAATCTGCCCCCCCCCCCCCCCCCAGCAGGGCGCGTATGGCTGAATAGCCCAGCGGGGCGCGGGCTAGGGATATATGTACAGGGTGTCCAGAAAAAAAAGATACTACGGAAATTAAGTCGCATTCATTAACGCACGAGCCGATTTTGTTTCAACTTCATGTGCTTATAGTGCAAGATTTGGCAAAACTTATGAGCACTGTAATGCGTCGTTGGAAAGTTGTCTGCCTGCCCTCCGAGATAGTCAACATGACCATCAGTCACCTGCAGACTGTGCTAGTGCTGGAGCTGATCCGCCGTAAGGCCGCTCACATTGAGTATCTGCTTTGAGGATCTGCCGCGACTAAACAAAGAGTTTACATGCCATGTGGCACCTGCTGTCTGTTTTGCCATATTTTTGCGAATACAAGCATGTGCCATTTTAAAATGTAAGGTGTTTATTTTCGGAAGTACAGCCAAAAATAATAGTATCCGTTTTTTCTGGACACCCTGTATTTTTCGAAGTCAACTGTTTTTTTTTTTTTTGTGGGTTCATTTAAACTGACGTAATACCACTTTCAACTCACCGAATTGAAAATTAACAAGCAGTGTTTGGTTTGCCTGGTTTATGTCGTGTATGTCAGTGTGCGACCTTTTTGTCTCGCTTTCCCTGAACTTTTGTTGTGCTGCCAACTGAACAAAATTGTCCAGGTGCTTAACCCGCGCCGGGCCGGGGGGTGCTTGAACACCCCCCCCCTGCGGTTTTTCGCAGATATCTCAAAAACGGCAGCGCGGAGGGCCGCCGTTTTTGGCACACCTGTTTGTGCATCTTTTCCGCACAGGTTGTTAGAATTTCAGACCCAGGTCGCCTTAGGTCAGGTCACCAGGTCACGCCAAGTGACCTCGCCTCAGAAAAAAAATAAGAATGCTCGTCATAGCTACACCGACTGATTGATTGCCTTCAAACTTTCAGTGATTAATAAGAGCAGCGTTATCTATAAAGAAAAAAATTATCTCGGAATTTTGATATCAGTGACATAAGGTCAGGTCAATTTTGCAGCCTCTCCATTATGAGTCAATGAGAGAAAATTGAAAAGCGTCTGTTTTGCACGAACGCTATTCTAGACACTCTCAAACATCGAGATGTAGGTAAAATTGACACACTGAACCGAAAAATGGCAACTGTGACCCTCGTTATGTCCCCGAGGTCATCTCAGGTCACGAACAGAATCTAACAGTTTTTCGCTAGTAACTTCTGATAGAGGCGTGTTAGAGCGCTGAAAACGCCTTAGATGTGTTAGGCTTGACGTTGCGGGTCGACTGATATACAACATGACCTTTTCCGGTAAGGTCATGACCAGGGTTGTATACGACTCAATCAATAGCAATCAATTCAATCACGACAAATTTGGGAAACCAATCAAATCAATCAAGTCAGAGCAGTTTTCGGGAATTGATTCAATCGACTCAAACGCGACAATGAAAGGAATCAATCAACTCAATCAAACGACTCAAACCAAGGTATACATTAGGTTTTTTGCCCCACCAACTTGGAAAAGTGTCCATAGCAGTCTGGTGTACCTACCTACCTACCAACCTACAGAAGAAACAAAAATATTGTCATTTAAAATTATAAATTGCCATGCCATTCAAAGTTTCTATGTAATAAGGAAGGATACCTATTACCTAGTGATGGACAGGTGGATCATGATATTGAGGTTCAATGGGTAGAATTGGAGCAGAAGTTTCATTTAATGGGTGCAAAATAACCCAGTAGTTGACTTCAAGAAACGCCCCTTAACCCAAATCACCACCTTTCACCTAAAAGTTGTCAATTTAATTTTGGCCATATTCCAGCTAAGTCATCAGGCCATCTACCCCATGTAAAGCCCCCGTCTGTCTCTTATGTGAGTTATGCGGAGCTCTTCTGAATTGAACCCTGAACATAATGAACCTAGCTAGGTTATATGCCACACTGACACCATATTGATATGAAAGTGTTGAAAATGTGCTACAAATTTGACAACTTCATTAGGTATGCTTTATGAAGACAGCAGGAAAGCAGGTAGGTACCTACTTACATGCCTAGATGTGTCACTGGCTGCCAACAGTACCAACGAAGGTAGATAGGTTATATGTGAAGAATTCAAAACATTTTATTGCAATACAATTTGAAACTGTTAGGACTGGGGGATAGGGATGAGCATTAAAAATATATTTAAAAGGAAATGGAAAGGACAGGGACTCTGGAACCACAGGAAGAACAAGGAAAATTAAATGCCGTTGGTGCGACTGCGAAAAAAAAAACAAAGAAAACGTTTTGCCAAGAAGTATGCTAAGCTTTTATAAATCCTTATTCTACGTCTTTTGATTTTTTGGTAAGATGACGTCATTGATTATCAT